AACACGAGGTGCCTTCTCGCTCCCAAAAGCGAGGCAGGCGCGGGGGCTGGGGCTGGTGCGGGCTAGCTACCGCTCAGGGGAGCTACATCCTCAGCAAGAGAGATCCTTTCTAGTCTGACCTATCTCTGCACAAAGATGTATGTAACTAAACTGCTTGTAAAAACAGTTTCAAAGACTATAGGTAAAAGAAGCAGTGTTTGTTCACAAGTTTATGAGCCATAGGGGTGAGGGGACATAGAACATAGGGCAGCAATTGAGTTAGAATCCTGAAAATGCAAGAAATCCCCCCAAATCTTTACATGCAGCTAACAGGTAAAATACCCAAAACACCAAGAACATCCTGTAACCTGCCAGAGGCAAAAGCTGAGGAGGGGAGAGCGCTGCTAATGCCCTAATACTGCAACATAGAAATAGTATCTAATGTATGCTCAGCAGATCCTGAGAAAATGACTATGCCTCACGATACAAAGGAAGGCAGTTTTCTGTCAGTGATTGATCTTTATGGAAATCTAACCATTTCACAAGTCCATTTCTATTTTATTGTTTGTTTATTTTCAACTGGGAAAAGTTAAAATATTTTTTGAACTGATGATGCTGAAACCTCTCCACGTAGAAGCATTTGGCTCTGGTAATGTTGTTATGATTCATTTCATTTGGACTTTTACAATCTATTAATGGAACACTATATTTTATAAATATATTATATTTATTATTTATATGATATAGGTATGAAAAAACCCCAGGATTTAATTGACTGTGTTGAGTTATGACCGTAAAAGGAATCTTCATGGTTACAAAATGCAAGTACTGGTTCTAGCATTAATTTACTGTAGGGGAAATTAAATGTAGTGGAAATAAAATGGTGACTGCTTGGGGAGCATCAGCATAAATGCAGGCAAATAAACAGTGAGTAAGAAGGTAATTCTGGGGCGGACCAAAGCAGCATGCGCTGAAAAGGGGAGGCGGGACCAATTCGGGAACGGACTGAAGCAGCGTGCTCACGGACTGAAGGCAAGTGGCACAGGGCATAGCGGCGGCAATGCAGTGGTGCTGGCAGCCGCAGCTGTGTGTGAGTGGAGCTGCGGTGTAGGGTGGAGGTGGGTGAGCAAGGGCTGTGCTTAGCTCCACTTGCCCTGCAGCTGTTTGGCCACCACCACTTGTGCTGCCTCCACCATGGCAAGTGGCCACCTGACCCACAGCCACTTGCCTCACTGTTGCTGGTCCCACCATTCTTGTTGTTGCTGCTGCCACAGATCCAGCCTGTCAGGAGCACTGTGGTCTGTATCTGGCTCTGGGCATAGGGTAAGCTTAACACTCCTTGCTTTACAAGAATGAATGACACAGATAAACACAATGAATACATGGTATTAGCCCAATTTTCAACTGATGTAATTCACTGTAGCTCTACTAAAAGGATGGGATTCTGCTGCTTTATAGCTAACCCTATCATTTGGGGTTACAATTCTTTAAAAGTAAAAGGAAATTCTCCCAATAAATACATGGGTGGAGTGACATTTCTGAACACAATTTGAAATACATGTGTGCCATGACATCATTGGCACTAGTTCTCCGAGGGCATGTCTACATGTGCAAACAATCCAGGAGTAATTTACTCTCAAGTAAACTATTCAAGAGAAAACTCTCCCAGGCCCATGTCTATATGTGCAGGGATGTGGGAACAGATTTGCTGCTCCTAGCACCTGCTGCTGATGCCGCTGGCTTCTTTGGCCACTCGCCACCCCTGTGCCCCCCACACACACACCACTGCCAGCTTCTTTGTGTCAGGGGGCCCCAAAACTATTTCTTGTAAGGGCCCCCAAAAAATTGTGGTCTGACTCTGCCCCCAGGAGCATCCAAGAGGATCACCATGGGTTACTGATTCCGTCTCTGGGAAGTCCCTACCAAGTACCCTCACTGGCATGCTACTGACAGAGGCATAGCCTCATCCCTTTTCCCCACTACTGTGCGAGATGGCATTGTTGTTGGGGGACAGTGGTGGTTTGGCCAGCAGACTGGGGGTTACCACAGGAGCTGCTAAATGTAGGCACTCTCTGACTCCCTGTTACTGCAGCTACCACAAATCACCTGTACTGTCAAGTCATGGCCAGCAGCAATCAGCAATGGTTAATTCAGTAACGAGAAAGGTGGTAACTGAAGTAGTGGGCTACACCAACTGCCTAGCTGCACACACAGCTCCCCCACAGCAGTGTCATCTCCCATGGGTGGGCGGCATAAAGCTGATGAGGGCACTGAGGTCACTGTGATGCAAACTCCATGAACCCCCAGCTGTCCCACTGGCTTTAGAAGACTGCCACAGGCTGGATCCAATTTCTTGGTGGGCTGCATCTAGAGCCATAGGTGCCAACCCCTGCTAGAGGAAACCAGAATCTTTGACCAGAACTAAATAGACAGGTTTGCACTACACAGGACCTGGTATCTTCCAACAGGGATGCACATTCTTTTGCTGGAAAATTCCTGGCCAGCTCTACTGTCGGTGAAGTATTAAGAAGAGCAGAGAAAAGGTAAGAGTGATGGATCCTCAGAGACAAAAATTGGGAAGGACTGATACCACCCTTTCATATAATATTTATAATAATGTATACATGGTCAAATCTATGTTTTTGAAAAGGGGCATACAGATGGTGGGGCACACCATCACATATAACACAATGCATTGATTTGTCCAGTTAAAGACAAACTAAAAGTTTTATATATGATCTACTCATATAATAGTATATGAATATACTAATCTATACCATATACTAATATACCAGGGTGCTAGCACTATATTATTCCATTTAAGATGAACACAAAACCAAATATACCTATTGGGACATGCACTAATTTGCTAGATTACATATAGCTTTTAAAAAAGCACACCAAACATGGCAAAGAGAGTCAAAACAACTAAAAGATATTGTCATTAGTTGTACAGTCATTATAGTTAAATGCACGCCTCAGATTCATAAAACAAAATTTAGCCTTCCTGAGCATCTTGACCCTGCCTCCAGTACTTCAGGTCAGGCTTTTCTACACCTGAGTCCATATTATCACACCAGAGTTAAGTAAGGTCCGTAGCTAGCGCTAAAGCCACTCTGCAGGGCTGTGACAGAAGGCAGAGGTTAGCAGGGACAGGCTTCAGGGGAAAGGGGGGCTTGACTAGAGGAACATCGAAAGGGTGAAAAAGGACAGGGCGTCTTCAGCACCTGTGGATAGGGGAAAGCTCAGCACGACTCCGGGAGATGATAAGGCTCCGTGACTCTGGCTGCTGCCTGGATAGAGATGCTGCTGCCCCCCAGGCACTTGGTTTTAAAGTCTGGGTGGAACGACACTCAACGCACCACTTCCCCCCCGCACCTATAGGTCACGCCGCTTCGAAGCAGCCCTGCCCCTGTGCCCTGCATCCCTCGCCCGGGCGGAGGCAGAAGCCAGCGTGATCAGCACAGCAGGTAACGCGGAGCGGCCGGGGGAGGCGAGCTCGGCCCCAGGAGGCCGGAGGAGCCGCGCGGGGGGCTGCTGCAGGCGGCTCCCCGCTCTCGCCAAGGCGCCGCCGCCACGCGAAGAGCGAGCAGGTGCGCGGG